CAAAGTTCTTCACCTCCTCTGCCACAGATGGTCCATTCAGGAACATCAATCAGACAGATTCCCAAACTGAGCACCATGATGCTGGCAACGAGCCCAACCGGCCAGTCACCTGCCAAGTAGAGACACATCTCAAGAACCGTTTTAGAAAAACTGAATGGCAACCAAGCCCCAAAGGAACCAGCCATACCTTAACTGCACCCTGCACGCACTGTAAGCAACAATGCGTTCTTGTAATCTCATCCCCCCCACTTCCTCCTTGGCACTGCCTTCCAACCATTCATGCCACCCTCCCCTCTCCTTATCTCACACTGAGAGAACAAATAATAATACCCTGGACCAAATTTAAATTATGAAAACAGCAAGTAGGAGTCATTTTTAAAAAGTCTTTTAACCCAACCAGCACATTAGCAAAAAGAGCTTTTAAGTTATCTGTCGCCCCGGCTGTAGCTGTTTGAATAGATTATTTACCCGTCTGGTAAACAACCCGAGACTGACTTCCCGTATACAGGGCTGTGCGATTACTCTGAAATATACCCCCCAAAAAAGTGATGTTTTACAACTGCTGGCAAATGACTTTATGGCCTTTCCGAAGGCCATACTTTATTTTCTGAAACATGAATTTTATTGTTTGTTTGTTTTTAACGTATTTTTATTTTTTTATTTTGTTTTATTGCTTAAAATATTACAAATAGTACATATGTCTCCTTTTTATTTTTCCCCTTGACCTTCCCCCGACCTCCCCTACCCCCCAGTGTCTTGTGTCCATTGGTTATGCTTATATGCATGCATACAAGTCCTTTGGTTGATCTCTTACCCCCAACGCCTAAAACATGAATTTTAAAGCAAAGCATTATTTTTGGAAATATAAATGGTAGTAATAACCAAAGAAATGTAAAGATGTTAATTTCAAACTCTCCAGTAATCAAGTTATATATGAGCACACCTAATGCATACAATCATCACTTATTCAAAAACCTACTTATCCTAAGATTGCCAAACATATTTTTAAGTGTCTTCCGTAATGCAAGGAAGAAAGATCTTAATAAACCGTATCAGTAAAGGTTCAATGTTGTTTTCCAGGCCCTAGCATGCTGCCTGGCATCTTAGTAGACAATCAGTAAGTTACCTGTTCATTCTCGACTGTTCCATGAGCTGGATTAAATCATACATTTAAATAATCAGACCCTTTTCCTACTGCAGGGAACATTTTTTGAAAGTTCTTTCGTTCAAATTTCAAAGTAATACACATCATTCAGAAACTTGAGTACAAAAATTAAGTAAATAAAACACAGCATCACTATTTTTACACTGTTTAGACCATGATATATAGAACTGCTTTATTTTTTAATGATTGTAAAACAATTCATCCAATAAACTTCCCACAGTCTACCTCACCCGTCTCCTATTGGGCACTGCTGTTTCCAATTTTCTACTATTAGAGTGCAATGCACATCTTCCCACGTGAAGTCTTTCTTCTGAATTTCAAGATTGTATTCCCAGGAGAGACAGGAACCGCCCCAAGAAAGTCTTAAGACTTTGGATACTTTTAACACCATCCTTTGCTACAGTACTAAAGACTTTAAACTGCTGGGCCCACTGGCTTCCTTTTCTAAATCTTTAAACCTACTTTTACTTTCAAGCCTTCTGCATTCCTTGACTCAAAGAGTCAGAAACATCTCCCAAACAAAACCGCCAACAGGGTACAGAGTCTACTAGTATAACATGGTAATAGCTAGTAACTATGTATGGTGCCAGGTGGGCACTAGAATGACCAAGGGATCACACTTCGTAAATTATATAATTGCCTAACCCCTATGCTGTACACCGGAAACAAATACAAAATACTGAATACCAACTGTAATTGAAAAATAAAAATTTGGGGGGGGAAGGTACATCATGTTTTTTTTTTCAAATATATTTTATTGATTTTTTACAGAGAGGAAGGGAGAGGGATAGAGAGTCAGAAACATGAATGAGAGAGAAACATCGACCAGCTGCCTCCTGCGTACCCCCCACTGGGGATGTGCCCTTGACAGGAATAGAACCCGGGACCCTTCAGTCCGCAGGCCGACGCCCTATCCACTGAGCCAAACCGGCCAGGGCGGTACATCATGTTTTTAAACTTGGAAATGGGTGAAATGTTTTTATTTTGAAATCCAGATTCCCCAAAGGAAATTTCACCACCCGGGTCACACACATCTCAGCCTTTTTCAAGCCAAGACTGACTGACGATTGTCCACAGTTCCTAAGATTGAGCACATAAACAAAAATAAAACTTTGTAAATTTTTTTTAAAAAAGAAAAATTTAAAAAAAAGAGATGTTTGTCAAACATCACAAAACTTTTTTTAAATATATAAATAGAAGTAAAAGTCACCCATAACACACACCACCACTCCCAAAAAAGTCACCAAGCCAGCTGGCCACTTGGCCTCAAACGCCCATCGCTTCCCTATTCCCGCTGCTGGTCTTCATTTTCTCACCAGGAGCAGCCGCTGGGAGCCGTGCTGCACCCCCACTCCGAGCGCCCCAGGCTCGGGCTGCAGACGGGC